GTATATAAAGTAGACATATTCGTGAATACTCTGCTTGTACTATGACAGATTTTTGTACACGAGCGTTCGAGCTAAAAGAAACGCATGTCCACATCCAAATACCGAGGAGGGCATATAAACGCACATAGGCGACTTTTGGGCTCAATGTAGATCGTTGTATAAGGATACACATTTCTATGTAGGCCTCACAAAAATATCATGTTCGAGTGCAAATTGCTTGCACTAGCGGGCAGTTAACTCCTGCACTGCTGAGAGCAAGCGACAGTCACCGCAAATATACTTCTAACAACACGAATACGCACACAGTATTAAGACTTATCTGTCTGGCATGATAATCTAGTCTGCACATATCAGAATGTGCAACAAAATACAACATACAATTGATATGCTTCCGCTTGGGTGGCAACAAATCTGTGTTTGTGGCTTTGATGACGGCCGCGCGTGTGTGCTGTCCCACCATTTTCGCAGCAGCTGTGGCTCCAATCTGCTTGAGCTCACGCTTCTCAGCTTTCATCTCATCTTTGACGGGAGGCATCGTGTCCTATGGTTTGCGAGAAGCTAGCCCTATCTACTCGTGCACAGACGTGCGTGTTCGTACTAGCGGCTCTATCTCGAAGCACCCCACGATTATATAACAGTGCATGCTCTAATGAAATTGCATGATATTCGCGACAACTTTTACAGTCTCGAACTGGGAGTGGGAAGGGGGTTTTTAAATATTCCGGGCACAATATGTACTAAAATTAAAAATACACACACGGAACGCAAAGAGATGATGAAGAAGGTCCGTCACCCGTGAGCGAGGGCCTGGCTGGGAATCACCGAATCAGGTGGGACTAGGGTTTAAAATTGGGTTGAAATAAATAGTTCTAAAAGTATTTCTGAAATATTACAGGCAGGTGAAGGAATTTCAATTTTTACATCTTTTACTCCATACTCTTTGATAAAATTTTCTATAAAAGAATTTGATTGTATTTTCTAAAATTTATAATTTACTTTGTTGTTTTTGATTTAAATTTTTTTTATCATAGCCGCGAGGCAGTAAATATGCACTACTTATATATATTTAGTTTTAGGTATTGAACAGTGAACACACAAGGCTGCATACGGCGCATACCACGTGAACAACGTGGGTAATCGCAGAACAAGTTCATTTACTTTCGTAACAATATTTATACCACGCCTTCCTCCCCTGTATAACCGATTTATCCAATTCCTTAACTGCCTACTTCTGCTGTCCCGAGTACAGTGGCACCGTTCATGGCACGACGTGTACGAGCGACGGAGACACCGAGTGAGTTCGGTTTACGTAAGTCTCTGCGACGTTGGCATATTACTACTACGATGTATATGCTTTGTTCGTGATAATACATGTGTCCTTTTTTATCTAGCAGTTGCAGTAGCAAAATCAGCCATGCATCAAACATCGAAGTATACGTGTCAATGCACACTATCACTAACAAATGACTAATTGTATTCATAATACCA